ACCAATCCCCTTGGTGGACCATAGTCATCTCATTTGCATCGTCCATAATCACTTCATTTGCATAGTCCATAGTATATTCACCAATCCCTGCAAAGTGTGTAAAATAAACCAATCACAGGGCAGACTGCAGCCCAGTACCAGACAAAAAGGATTAAACCTCAAGTGATGTACAGCTTGCCCAGGAAATGTCAATCAACCTGGACAAAAGTAACAAACCCTCTGGGGTAGAAAACTAGGGCAAAGGTAACTTCTCAGGGCTTAGGGGGAAATCTCTCAAGCTGTTTTTGCGAAGAACCAAGGCAAAATGCCACATAAAGGAACTCATTTCACCAGACTGCTTCAAAAACCTGCTCAAGCCTCACAAAGTTTCCTTTCTTGGTAAGCAGTACCACCATCCTCTCAGTTGCTCAGGCCAAAAACTTCAGAGTTATTCTCAACTCCTCACTCTCCACAGCCCATATCTTGCCACAGCTCTCCCCTGATCTAAGCCACCATCACCTGTCACATGGATTATCACAGAAACTTCCTGGTTGATTGTCCTGCTTCCTCCCTTGCCCTGCTGAACGCTATTCTCCATATATCAACCAGGTGATCTTTTTTTTAAAAGTAAATTGAATCATGTCACTGTCCTGGTCTAAACCCTCCAATGGCTTTTCATCATACATAGAACAAATCTGAAGCCCTCAGCGCGGCCTGCAAGGTCCTGCAGGTCCTGACCTTCTCTGTAACAAACCCTCATTAATAATTGGAATGCGGAATGTATGAAGTATGAATCCAGGAGACTTGGAAGTCGTCAAAAATGAAATGGAATGCATAAAGATCGATGTCCTAGGCATTAGTGAGCTGAAAGAGACTGATATTGACCATTTTGAACTGAACAGTCACATGGTCTACTGTGCCATGAATGATAAATTGAAGAGGAATGACATTACATTCATTGTCAAAAACAATATTTCAAGATCTACCCTGAAGTACACACCGTCAGTATAGGATATTATCCATACATCTACAAGAAAGGCCAATTAATACCACTGTTATTCAAATTTATGCACCAACCACTAATGCCAAAGATGAAGAAATTGAAGATTTTTACCAACTTCTGCAGTCTGATATTGATCAAACATGCAATCAAGATGCAATGATACTTACTGGTGACTGCAATGCGAAAGTTGGAAACAAAGAAGAAGGATCAGTAGTTGGAAAACATGGCCTTGGTGATAGAAACAACAGCAGAGATTGCATAATAGAATTTTGCAAGACCAAAGACTTACTCATTGCAAATACCCTTTTTTCAACAACATTAAAACAGCAACAATACATGCGGACTTCACCAGATGGAATACACAGGAATCAAATTGACTACATCTGCGGAAAGAGATGATGGAGAAGCTCAGTATCATCAGTCAGAACAAGGCTGGGGGCCAACTGTGGAATAGACCATCAATTGCTCATACACAAGTTCAAGTTGAATCTGAAGAAAATTAGAACAAGTCCATGAGGGCCAAAGTACAACCTTGAATATATCCCACTTGAATTTAGAGTCCATCTGAAGAATAGATGTGAAGCTTTGAACACTAATGACTGAAGACCAAGATCCTTCCTTGCCTCATCCAGCTTCTGGTGGCTCCAGGAATTCCTTGGTTTGTGGAATGCAACCAATCTCTGCCTCCATCTTCACACAGTGTTTTTCCCTGTGTGTCTCTGGGTGTCCTCTCCGCTTTGTATAATGGCATAGTCATTAGATTTAGGACCCACCCTGATCCAGTATGACCTCATGTTAATTTAACTAATTATATCTGCAAATAGCCTATTTCCAAACAAGGTTGTACTCTGAGGTTCCAGGTAGACCTGCATTTTGGGGGGATTCTATTCAACCCACTACAGTAGGTGCTCAGTAAATGCTGTAGGGTGAATTAACCTCTGGGGTCTTCACAATGTTGGGAAGATGGCCTTCCAGGAAGGGTGGGGTTTGGAAAGTCAGAGGGACAGAGACAGGACAAGAAGGGATCTTGTGGTGGAGGGAGACAGTGGAACAATGTGGACTGAGGTGTGGGAGTGAGCATGAGAACCAGCAGGAAAGGACTATTGGCATCTGGGGCTAGTTCCTTGTGACAGTGTCAGAGGGAGAGGGACCTTGGGATTCTCAGGATCAGAGGACAGAGGCCCCAGCCCTGGTCCATTGCTTCATGCTGTAGCCAGGCCTGCTGAAGGCCAGCCCATTTCCCCAGTACTGATGTGGAGGCAGACCCGCAGAACAGCTGGACATAGGACAAAAGCCCCTCGTCTCACCCTTGGCCAGCTCTTGCAGGGATGCCTGCTCATGGCTCCTGCACACTCCCTCCTCCCTGCCTGTCAGCTTCCTTCTCTCAAAGTGGCCTCCTCTTGACTGGAAATGTGTCCACTGGTGGCTTTTGAGCCACACTTCTCAGGAATTCACCTCCAGAGAGGATGTAAAACCCTTTCCACCTTCTAATCTAGCCAAAATCCTAGAGAAGAACTCTGATTGAGCTGGTTTGGGTCATGTGACAACCCCGAGGCCAATCAGCTGAGGCCAAGGAAGGGCTCTATCTATGATCAACAACCCTGACTAGATCCACGTGGTTGAAGTGGGGGAGGAGCAGCTGTAGTTCCCAGAGCAAGGAAGGGGTGTTGGACAGAGCTAACAAGCACTGAGTTGGACAAACACCCAGACAGCCCCTCCCCCATGGGTCTCAGCAGTGGAGAAACTGTCCCACAGCTCCTGGGGAAAAATCAGTTGCCCCTCCCTGGGACCTTACCTGTTGAGCAGGTCCCACCCCAGAGGCAGCACCAGGGCTCTTCGGTCCTCCTTGCATCCTGTCTCACCAGGACTCGTGGGTCCAAGTCCAGGAAGGTTCATCTGCTACAGCAGCAGGACAGAGCAAGGTCAAGATCTCTGCCAGCTGTTCCACTCCTACCCCCAATGGAGGAAGCCTAGAAGGAAAAAGGAGAGCGGAGCCCAGGAGAGACTCACTCACGGGAGGGGGCTGGGGCCTGGAGGTGGCATCTGAGAGGCAAGCATAGCTTCCACCCCATCCTGGAACACGGGGGCCTGTGGAAGGGGCTCAGGACAAAAGCTGGGGTACTGACAGCCTGGGGGAGGCAGTAGTATGCTGGTGAACTAGCTTTCTGAAGAAGAAAAAAAGCCCTGATCATTTCCATGGTATAAATACTCCCAGCACAGTCAATGGCAAGCTCCCAATGGTGTAACAACCAGCTCACAGATTTCTGGAATACTTAGCAATGGGCTCTCCAGTCTCCAGGTTCTGTAGAAGCCCACTCCAGCACCACACTGAGGGATGGGGGGGGGGGGACAAGCCCTCTGGCTGCAGCCCCTGCCACATCCCCTCACTCCCTTGAAGCTGTTTGCCCACCCTCCACCAGAGCTGGCTGACCTGGTGGCCACCTACCCCATGCTCTTAGTTCTGGCCACTTAGTGGACACAGAAGTTTGGAGATCAGACCCAAACTCTCTGGAGAAGGGGCAAGCTCTGGGCCCCTGAACCTCCCCCCACCCCATGTCCTCATGGCAGCCCACCGGGAGGAAGAAGTGTTCCCAGAGCTAGTGTTCTTCCACTGTGACCCCCTCAACAGAGAGAGATGGGGGCCTGTCACAGAATTGGGCAGCTCAGCCTCCAAGCATAGATTTCCTACAAAACGGAGGGAGCCGAGAAATGGAGCAGGCAAAGCTCCTCTTGGTGCCAGGGTAGTCTCGAAGGGGTTTTGGGGACGGCCAGCTGGTCCTGAGAGCGGGAGGGAGTAGTGAGGGTGCCCCTGATGGGGGCATGGCCTCTCCCTCTCTGATGCTCACAGCAGCACTTAGGTGTAAGGACGACCCTGCTTTGTCCCCACTGGGGGCTTTTGCTGTCGGGTCTGCAAAATCCTCAGTTGCTACTGGAAACGGTGATGTCATTTGCAGGGGGTGGAGCTTCAGCCATCCTTTGAGCTGGGGAGGGTGGAGCACACTCCGGGGCTGGAGGAGGACAAAGAATTAGGATGGTGAGGACCAGAGGGACAAGGAAGGCTCCAGAAAAGGGGAGGGAGAAAGAGGCGGGAGGGCACTAGGGTAGGAGCTGGTGAAGAGAGGAGTACAAGCAGGGAATGAGGAATGTCTACAAGGCACGTAACTCAGGAGGAACCTTGGTCCCAGCTGCTGCAGACACAGCTCCTCCTTCCTGCCCTGGTCTCTCAGCAGCTGGGCAGGTTCAGGCTCCCAGACTCTCCTCCCCACATGGGGGCAACCTCTATCACCCTCTCATTTCTTCCCAACCCTCCAGGGGGGGACTCCAAATCACAAGATTGGGCAGATGGGGTCCCTCCCCCATTTTTTGGTCTCCTGGGGAGAAAGAAGCCCCACTGCCACCCGCTAGAGGCATGGATTAGGACCTCTCCACACCCCTGGGTCTCCAACCACAGTCAGACCCCCAAACATCACTGACTATGAGTGAGGACTCGTGCACAGGCGTGCGCGGGCACACACAGACACGCAGGACACACATTTGGTCGTGTTAAGAGACATGTCGGGGTCCGGCTGCTCGCTGTGGCACCGAGCCCTCTAGCCTTCTCACCCTCAGCTCCCTGAAGGGCCGAGGCAGCAAAATCCACCGTCCCAGAGACCCCTCCGTACACACACACTCGCACACACAGGCACTCCCTGGCTCACGCGCGCTCTGGCAAACGATCCCACAAACGCAGGCGCACGCTCCGGAGCGGGAGGCGCCCCCCTTCGGCTCCGTGCTGGGGAGCGGGGGCGGTGGAAGGGGTAGGAGACGCCGGCCCTGCTCTCGGCTCCGCAGCTGCCGCAGTCGCCGCGGCAGTGGACCGGGACCTGCGCAGCCCGCGGAGCCACCCGGCGCTCGGGCAACAGCGCCGGCACCGCTTCAGCACTGCGGACAGCGCCAGCCGCAGCAAACCCTGCATCCTCGCCGCTCCAGCCCCGCTCGCTGAGCCGACCTGCGCCGAGGAAGCACGGGGCTGGCCGCAGCCTCGGCGCCCCCTTCTCGCAGACAGTGCCAGGACTGAGGCTCCCGGGGAAGACGCGGCCCCCGAAGACCGCTGGGGCGCCCCGTTGGGGATGCACCGAAGGCCCCGCGTTCGAGCCGCGCAGAGCCAGGCCCACGGCGTCAGGAGCCCATGAGCACCATGAGCCTACTGACCCTCGCCCTGCTTTTCTCCTGCTCCTTCGCCCGTGCCGCCTGCGACCCCAAGATCGTCAACATCGGCGCCGTGCTGAGCACGCGGAAACATGAGCAGATGTTCCGCGAGGCGGTGAACCAGGCCAACAAGCGGCACGGCTCCTGGAAGATCCAGCTCAATGCCACCTCCGTCACCCACAAGCCCAACGCCATCCAGATGGCCCTGTCCGTGTGCGAGGACCTCATCTCCAGCCAGGTGCCTGCACGCCCCTGCCCCTCGGCCACCCGCCTGCCTTTCCCCTCCCTCCCCACCTGTCGCAGTTTCAGTCCACCCTTTCCTGGCCCCCTCCCTCTCCTAAGAGAAGATCCCCAAGTCACCTGGCTCAGCCTGGACAGGACTGGCCTCACTAACAGCCAGACACCAGCGATGCCAGATCCCCCATCTTGGTCACCAGATTGGTCACCTGCCACCCTGGCCAGCCCTCAGAAGGGCTCCTGGGGCTTCCGGCGCTCCTGGCCCTGACAGCCCCTCCAAGTGTACAAACATGTGTGGGGCGTTTGGCAGTTTGTGTCATTGTGTGTCAGTGGGGCGGGGGTGGGCATTTGGCGTGTGGGCAGGGGTGCCCATCCCAGCCAGAGCCAGCACTGCGGGCTTCAAAGAGACAGGGCCTGATGCCATCTTTATTTCTGCTTCTGGATTCTCTTTCCCTTCCCCCCTTCTCTCTCTCCTTCCCCCAGAGTGGCCCTGGGGTCTGCAGGAGATGGGAAATGGCCCAAGCGTTTAAGTGGGACATTCTGTAGGGGTGGGAGTGGGGGATGCGCATGTGAGAGGCGGTGGTGGCAGGGCACAGCACGGAGCGCTGCGGGGGAGGACACGACTCCGGAGCATTTGCCTGTCGAGCTGTCCGCCCCGGGGCCGCTGCCTGCTGAATTCCAATGAAGCTGCGGATGACTGCAATGCAGCCTTTACGTAAGAGGCGGAACAGACGCTCCCAAGCGCTGCTCACACTTGCTCACCTAGTGTGCACTCACAAACCATGGCACACAGGCTCACGCACACACTTACGTAAATACACGCTTGTGCACAGAGAGACACTGACTTACACTAGCACCCACCCCTGCAATCGGTGTCACACACCGACGGCACTGTTCACTCACACACAGAAGTCAGGGCTTTTAACCGGTTCATTCTGGTTTGAACCCCTGCTGAGAATTTGCATTCTAACAAGTTCCCAGGCAATGCTAATGCTGCTGGTTGGGGACCCATTCTGAGAACCACTAGGAGAGCAGTGGTTCTCCAAATTTATTATACGTAAGAATCACCTGGGGCTCTTGTTAAAATGTAGACTCTGATTCAGTATATCTGTGGTGGAAATGCAAATTCTCAGCAGGGGTTCAAATCGGAACAAATCGGTTAGAAGCCCTGATGTAAATTCATGCTTGTGCACAGGGACATCGATTTACACTAGCACACATTCCTGCAATTAATGTTACACAATCAAGTGCACAGGCTCATTTGCACACACATGGAAAAACTTGCTTGCGCACGCACATACGTCGACTTACACTAGCACACACTCCTGTGATCAGCATTACACAATTGATTGCACAGGCTCACTTGCACACACGTGCCCCCGCATCCAGGAGCACACATGCTCACATGCACACACACTGCTTGGTACACCCAGGTGCACATGCACACCCTGTGCTTACACCACACCAGGCCATATACACCCACGTAGCACACCAGATTAAATCATGCATACGTGCACACATACAAATATATACATGCTGGGGCTTAAAATAGACACGTAATATGCCAACACACACTCATAAACACCTGCATAGGAGCGTGCACACACACGCATGCACGTGCTCACGCAGACACTCGCCCACCGCCTTGGCCCAACACCTCTGGGTCTGACTAGGCTGAGGACCAAGGAGGGAGGAGGAGAACCAGTACACAGCAGTGCCAACCACAGAGGCCACTTCAGAGCTTTGTTCAGGGCCCTCCCCCCACCGCACAAGCCACACTGTGCCCCAGCCCAGGACCCCATGGGATGGGACTGAGCCCATCTGGACATCTGGGGCCAGTGGCTTCCCTCCCACGATCCATCTAGGCTAGCGGAAGGGTGAGGGGGTGGAGTCAGGGAGCGTAGGGCGGGCCAGTCTGGAGGACGCCTCCTCCGACGCACCCAGTGTTACTGTCTGTCTCTGGGCTGTCTGGGATGCCTCAGAGGTTAGGCAGCAAAAGCTGCTCTCTCCTACTGAGCCAGCTTCGGAGCCAACACGCTGTAACACTTCAGCCCCAGCCCTGCCTCGGGGGATCAGAGCATTGTGCCCCACCCCGCATGCAGAAGCAGGTGGGACCTGTGGCTCAGGAGGCAGAGGAAGACACCGATGAGCAAGACCTGAGCCGTTCTGTGTCTGCGATGGGAGGGAGAGGGAGGAGACACCCACACAGGGAGCTGAGCCACTGGTTTCCGACGTGTGTGGCTGGGGGCCCTGGTGGTGAGCCTCTCAGTGTCTCCTTTCCGTTCCTTGTGGGAGGATGTCAGAGGTCAGAGTCAGGATGGGCTCTCATCCAAGCCCAGCTAGCCAGGGCCCAGGCCCTGGGGGACACCCACAAAGGGATGCAGGCATCCCTGGCAGCTCCTGGTCAAGCTCGTCTCACTAAAGCTCGCTCTGCAGTGTGTGATGCAGGTCTCTGCACTGCCCTGCCCCCACCCAGGAGGAGGGACAGTGGGTGGGCTGGGCACCCCTAGCCGCACAGTCTGGAGTTCATCCCCACTCAGCAAGGTAGGGGGGCATTACAAGCCCCACGGACAGCATAAAGACACGCCTGTCCCCTTCCCTGTCGAGGGTCTCATGACCACCTCTGGGCAGCCCCTCCAGCGTTCCTGGTCAGCGGAGTGACGGGAGGGGGCACCTGGGGCGTTGGGGACACTGGCTGGGAAGTAAGAGAGCTGGAGAGTCTCCATCTCACACAGGGTGCCCACTTGCCCGAGGTCACGCTCACTGCCTCCACAATTTGCTCACCGAGTGGATGGTGATGGGGTCCTGCTTGGTAGGTGTGGGGGGGCAATGCTGCCACGGGAGAGTCAGCACGCGTCTTGGGCTGTGCGTGTGCACACATGGCGCCACCTGGACCCCCTCCTCACCTGCGAGTTCCACCTCTGCTGCTTCCAGGTTGCAGCTGGCTCTGGGCGGTGCCTGCCAGCCCACACTGACTCTGTCTCCTGTGTCCACAGGTCTACGCCATCTTAGTTAGCCACCCTCCTACCCCCAACGACCACTTCACTCCCACCCCCGTCTCCTACACAGCCGGCTTCTACCGCATCCCTGTCCTGGGGCTGACCACCCGCATGTCCATCTACTCGGACAAGGTAAGCCTGGGCCCTGCACCGGGGAGCTGGCCAGCTGGCTCTCTGCTCCTGTGCAGCCCAGGGCCACAGGCAACTGACCTGGGAGGGCTGACAGGCACTGTCAGGAAGTGGAGGAGGGGACCTAGGTGCTCAGACCACAGGCTCTGCCCCCATGGAGCGGGAGGGTGTACATGAACACACACAGACACTCACACCCATACACCCTCACACTCATTTTCACACTCACACTCATACACACTCATACACTTTCACACCCATGCATGCTCACATTCATACACAGTCACACTCAAACTCACACACTCACACTCTCACTCCCGTACAGTTTCACACTTACACACAAACACAGCCTCACACCATGCACACACACACAAACTCACACTCACACACACTCTTTCATATACGCACTCATATACGTACACACATTCACACTCACAGTTCAGAAGCACACTCACCCCTTCATACCCCTGCACACACATTCACATGCACTCACACACTCAACACACAGACTTCCATTCTCACAACTCCCACACACGCTGACATGCACACTCAAACATCTTACACACATACGTGTGTGCATAGTGACATGCACACATCCAAGTATCTCACATATCATCACATGCTCATACCTTACACTCCTAGAGCTCACACATCCACACGCACACACTCATGCGCCATCACACAGTGACACGCTGTCACACTCACACTCAAGTTTACACAGTCACAGTGAACTCACATACAGCCAGACAAAAACCCACACACTCACACACCCATGCACTCACACACAGTCAACAGTCTTACCCGCTCACACCCAAACACAGACTCACACACACATTCACATCATCAAAGTCTTGCACACACTCACACATGGGCAGAAGGACCACTTACAGGTGACAGGTGACAATGGCAACCCTTCAGAAGGAGAGGTTGTTGCCTGGAAGAAGCGACAGGCAGGAAGGCTTCCTGGAAGAAGTGGAACATGGACTTGGAAGGGGGAAGTTGGGGACCTGGATAACACACAGGACACTCCAGGGAGACACACAAGGCAGGTGGGGGTGGGGACACACAGACAGGAGGGGGTGGGACAGACAGACAGGAGGAGGTGGGTCACACAGACAGAAGGGGGTGGGACACACAGACAGGAGGGGGTGGGTCACACAGACAGGAGGGGGTGGGACACACAGACAGGAGGAGGTGGGTCACACAGGTAGAAGGGGGCGGGTCACACAGACAGGAGCGGGTGGGTCACTCAGGAGGGGGCGGGTCACACAGACAGGAGGGGTTGGGTCACTCAGGAGGGGGTGGGTCACACAGACAGGAGGGGTTGGGTCACTCAGGAGGGGGTGGGTCACACAGACAGGAGGGTGTGGGTCACACAGACAGGAGGGTGTGGGTCACACAGACAGGAGGGGGAGGGTCGCTCAGACAGTAGGGGGTGGGACACAAGGGCAGAGATGAGAGCTATGGCTCTGGTCTCTTCATCCCGGAACACAGTGGGAAATGGTGCCTGCATCTGTCTGCATTTGTCCAGGGTGAACAGAGGAGATGCTCATGGTGGGAGGAGCTGGTCTGGGGGTGCCATGCCTGAGGACTGAGGGCACCAGGGCTCAGCCCCCTGAGGAGTCCTCGTGACCCATGGGCTGGGGGCTCTGGCTGCAGCAAGCAACCCTGGAAGCATGGCTAGAAGAGCTGAGGGGCAGGCAGAGAAACCACAGCCCGAGAGGGAGGGGGCTTGCTCCAGGCCACCCAGGCGTCCGCCTGATCATGAGTCTGGGAGGACCCCCCCAGCTCGTTTCAGGACTTGGCGGCATGGGGAGCCATCCCGGCTGGGAGTGTTCCCACAGTCTGCTCCACATCTGCCTCCAGGGCTGTGACCACCTGCAGACACACCAGCAGGGGCCACTTGCCCAGGGACATCCTGTGTGGCCCGCAGAGCTGAGGATAGAGGGCTGGGCTCTGCAGCTGAGGATCGCTGGGGCTCCCCATCTTCATCTTCTCCAAATCCACCCTGCTCAGAGCCCACAGTCTGGATCAGGCTGCTTGAAGGCACAGAGACTGTCTGGCCAGGACTGGGGTGCCTGGGGGAAAACAGGGATGGGTCTGCCCCAGTGAGGTGGCAGTCTTGGGGGCCAGAGGGAGGAGGTAGGCTGGAGGCCTGAGCAGGCACCAGCCTGAGAGCACAGAAAGCCCCTGCATACAGCTGAGACAGGTGTACTGCTCCTTTGGGCACTCTCTCTCCCCCATGCCCTCCAGCCGGTGTCCTTACAGGTAAAGGGGAGAAGACAGCCCTGTGGAGGAAACAAGCCAGAGAGGAAGGCACTCTCACATCACGGCCCAACCCTCAGGGCCCACGTGAGGCCACATCCACGGCCAAATCTCACAATTCACAGAGCGGCGAGGCCCAAGTCAGGGTCCACCCAAGATCCCAGTTATAACCCTCCTCGAGGCCCATCGAAGCCAAGTGGATGATGGACAAAGGCAGCGGGGATTCTTGCACTCAGGTTCCAAGGCACTGTCCCAGTCACAAAGAGGGAGCAGGTGAAAAAGAATCTGGAGGCCTCAGAGGACCACAAGATCAGTATGGGTACATGGGTACACAGGGACACTACAGGGACTGGTAGTCACCTGGACAAAGGGGGCCTAGGTCAGGGAGGGCAGAGCCTGCTCCTCTCCTGGCCAGCCTGCCCATGCCAGGATGCTGGGCTCTGTGAGACGCCTCTCCTGGACAACTAGTGACAAACCCAAGTGCACACAGAGAAACAGGGCAAGGCCAGCAAGGGGCGGCCTCTGGACTCTGGAGAATCCATGAAATATTTAACCCCAAGAGTGAAGATGTCCTGGAGACAGATGTTGCATTTGAGAAGGATCCTGCATGCCCCACACCCGCCCACGGGGGATCTTCAAGATGTTGCCTGTCAGGGAGATTTGCCCAGGGTTCAAATTGCCCAGAAAGGGGTGGGCGGCCAGGAGATGGGGAGCTCATCCCCAGGGCATGGCACGCAGACCCAGTGCCCTGTCAGGGCTGCTGAGGCCTCTCCGCCTCCGATTAGATGATGTGGGGGAAGAGGGGGAGCCCTGGTGTCACAGGTTAAGGGCTCAGCTGTTGACAAAAAGGTCAGCCGTTCAAATTCACTTGCCGCTCCTTGGAAAGCCTGGAGGGCAGCTCTACCCTGTCCTTTAGCGTCGCCATGAGTAGGAATCGATGGCAGCGGGGTGTGAGGGAGAAGGCAGTGTGGAAGGGCAGGAGCAGGTGAAGTGGGGGGCCGTGTCAGGCAAGTGGGCCTCACCTGGCCCCACAGGCGGAAGGAAGGGGGGAACCTCTGGGCTAGCAGGTGCCAATGGTGGAAGGCAGTGGGGGCACCGGGTCTAGGCAGCGCCCTCAGCCCCCCGTCCGCCCACAGAGCATCCACCTGAGCTTCCTGCGCACCGTGCCGCCCTACTCGCACCAGTCCAGCGTCTGGTTTGAGATGATGCGCGTCTATAACTGGAACCACATCATCCTGCTCGCCAGCGACGACCACGAGGGCCGGGCGGCGCAGAAGCGCCTGGAGACGCTGCTGGAGGAGCGCGAGTCCAAGGTGAGCGGCGGCCGCGGGCGGCGTCGCCGAGCGCGGAGCAGGAGAAGAGCGGAGCCGGCCGCCCGCCGCTGTGTCTGTGGCTCCGTGTGTGACACCTTTTCTTTCCATCGTGCATGGTCAGCACCACCACGTCTGCGAGCGCCCGCCCCGGCCTGTCCTCGGCTCATTTCACTCGCTTTTGCCATTAGTCGAAATCGCCTTCGTGTCAGCCCCTGCCGGGCGAGGGCAGGACCACCTGGAGCTCCGCAAACACCCCGCCCCGCCCCCGCCGGACCCCGCCCACCCGGGCCCGCACACCTGTCCCAGCACACCTGTCCCCGCACTAGGCTCAGAACTCAGGGCGCTGCCTCCGCCCAGCCCCCAGCCGCCTGCCCTAGGGCGCCCCTCCTCAAAGTGGTGGAGACTCCGCCGAGCTCCCCGAAGCCCCTCCCCAAGCACCCAGGCCCCCCGCTGTGACCCATTCCATGTCCTCACGCTGACCTCACCTCCCCATCGCCCTTCACCTCACAGCTCCCCTTCGCCCTCACCACGGCCCCCATCCGGCACATCTGCCACACCTGGCAGGGGGCCCCCCTCAGCTGGAGACACGCCAGCCCCCTCCTCTCGGCATCTCCCTCCCTGGGGTCTCCCGCCCTGGCCCAGTGAGACAGCTGGTTCTAGAACACACTGTCCACCTTGCCCCCAGTCTGGCCCCCTCTGTGGGCCTGCAGACGGACCAGAGCAGGGATTTCTGGGGGTCCAGGTGACCCCCCCATCCCCTTCCTTGCCTGCCTCGCTGCCAGTCTGAGGAGCAGCTGGCGATCGCCCAGGGACCCGCCCTCACCTAGCCCAGAGCCCGGGTTGCTGCGCACCCACCACGGCTCCCCCACCCCCACCCCCACCCAGGGGCAGCAGAGAGGGGTAGGCCCAGGTTGGGGGAGGGGCCTAGGGAGGCCAGACTAGGGGAGGGGTGGTGGGTGGGGGAGGGAGCATGCTCTGCCTGGGAAGCAGAGCTGGCTTCATCAAACTGGGCACCCACCCCTGGCCCCTCAGGGTGCCACAGGCCCCCAAAGGGAGTAGAGGGCGCCGGCAGGGGGGTGAGGCCACAGGGTGCTGAGGGGGGTCCTATCGGGGATTGGAGGAATCTGGGAGGGAGAGAGGGAGAGAGGGCTTACAGCGCCGAGGGACCCACCCCTTCCAAGACAGCGCCCTTGGGAGGCAAGGGCAAGGAAAAGATGCTCTGTGCCACCCCAGTGCCAGCCCGGAACGTGACCTCCTGGCGTGCCCGCCAGCTCCATCACACGCTGACACCTCCCCAGTGTGTGCACACTGCCACACCTGCCCCTCACACTCACAAGCACACACTCCTGCAACCCAGCTACATCCTCCCACTCACAGGCGCCCTGCCGCTTTCTCAGGGGTCCGATGCGCACCCTCGCACCCACGCTCACGCGCACACACCCAGTCGTTCCCCTCCAACACCGTCGCACTCCCCACCACATGTGTGCATGCGTGGGCAGGATCCTAACGCCCCGTGCAGACACGAAGGGCACGCCTTACCCCTGCAGGCACACCTGCCGTGCCCAAACCCTGGGTCACACTCAGTCTTGAGCACACACGTGGGTGGAGGGATGTGCACACACAGGTACACACACTGCAGTTCGTGAGAACACCTCGGCCTCCAGAGAGGCAGCTGGGAGGATATGGGGAGGGAGCGGCGGCCGGAGGGACGCAGGACAGGGCATGGGGGAGGACTAGGACCGACCTGGGGGGGGGCTGCTGGAGCCACAGGCAGGTGTATGGCAGGGATGGGGGTGGCAGGTGGGACCCCAAGCGGGACCGCGTTGGGCGTGGGCGGGGACAGGGTTTCACCTTCTCCAGAACTGGGTCCCTTTCCAAGAGCACAGCTCCACGGCGGGAGCCTCCGTGGCTGCCACGCCCCGGCCGCGCCCCGCCCCCAGCCCCGCCCGGCCCCGGCCCCGCCCCGGCCAGGTGTTTGCGAGCTCCAGGTACGCGCCCGTCTGCAGACGTGCGAGGAGGTGGTGTGATTGCTTTAGCGCCGTCATTTTCAACCGTTTATAATCTTCTGTGTCTGCATATTTTCTCTGTGCACATTATTCATCAGAGTAAAAAAAGGAACTATGAAAACCTCGACCAACTGTCCTATGACAACAAGCGCGGACCCAAGGTATATATGCATGGACGTGCACGCCACCCACCGACTAGGGCGCCCTGGCCTGCGGCGCCGCGGCCATAGGGTCGCGTCCTGCAGAGCCGCGCCAGCCGCAGGCCCGAGCAGCAAGGAGGAGAGCGAGCCCGTGAGGCAGGCAGGCAAGCAGGCAGGCAGGCAGGCAGGCAGACGAGGGCAAGGCGAAGGCAGGTGAAGGCGCGTGGGTGTCAGCGGCCCACCCGCTATGGCCTTGAAGGCAGAGCCGCAGGAAGTGCCGCTCTCCGGGAAGTGCATGCGAACCTCCGGGTCTACCAGGGTTTCCTCCGTGGAACCCGGGAGGGAGCCTGCCCGGCAGCCTGGCCGCCAGGGGTCCAGGCCAATCCTGCAGGGGCCTGAGCAACCAGGCCCGAGAGAGAGGCTCTCCCGTGGTGTTGGATCAGTCGGCCCTATCTCAGCTCCCGGTTGCATTCCAAAACTCTTTTTCCTGTCCGCTGCACGCCTTTCTGAGTCTCGGGCCACTCCAGCTTGCATGCTCAGTGCAAACACCAGGAGAGGAGAGTGAATGGTGGAGAGAGAGAACTGAGAGGCAGAGAGAGCAGAGAGGGCTGCAGGCAGTGAGTGCAGGAGAGCCCACAGGCTGGATCGCAGGACCAGAGAGGCAGGCCAGGGCAGGCAAGGAGCGAGGCAGGCAGGTGGACAGGAGCGCAGGAGCCGGGTGCAGGCCATGCGGCCCTCACTCAGCTGCAGTGGGGTTCCTAGCGGCTGCAGCCAGACCCTCAGCCCCTGAGGTGCTATGTCCCTGCCCCCAGCCACCTGCTAACGCCCCCGCTCACACCACAGGCTGAGAAGGTGCTGCAGTTCGACCCGGGGACCAAGAACGTGACGGCCCTGCTGATGGAGGCACGGGAGCTGGAGGCACGCGTCATTATCCTCTCGGCCAGGTGAGGCAGGGCTGGGCCCCCAATCCACCCAGGGCTGTACCTGGGCCATGGCCCAGCCACCTGGACCAGCGCTGGGGACACTGCTGAGCAGAGCCAACTTCAGCTCCCCAAATCTCCTTGCCAAGGAGAGCCCTACCCACAGCACCAATGATGTTGGGCTCCCTGGCCCCCATCTGCCCATGCGTCCATCCCTCCATCCTTCCACAGTCACTTGCTGCCTCTTGCTCTGAGGGGGGTTGTGGGGATGACGAGGCTAAGCCAAAGCACCTGCCTTTAGGAGCCCCTGACTCAGGGAGGCACTCCCACACATATGCAGGGTACAGGACAGTAAATGGTGTGGCCAGAAGTAAGCAGAGGGCTCTGGGAGCTGGAGCCAGGGAAGGCCAGTGTTCTGGCCGACACTCAGATTACAGATAGGGATGGGGCAGGGACAGCTTCATTGAGAGCGGGTCCAACTGTTGAACACACTAGTTTTGGGGAAATGGGTTCCTTGAGCTGCCCAGAGGGAGTGAGGGTGGAGGTGTGCCCATGAGCCCAGGTGGGACAGCCCCCAGCAGGGAGAGGGCCCCAGTCCGACAGACTGAAGGATCAGAGCAGCCAGAGCAGGCAGTGGGAGGGAAAGAGACAGGAAACAAATTCGGCACCATGGAAACCAGGCTGCCCTGGACAGGGCGTGGCCCCCCATCACAGCCTCGCGGGACGAGGCCACAGTAAACACCTCCCTATTTGCAAATGGCTAAGCTCTCCTAGGAAGGGAAATGCCAGACCACCGGGAATAGGAAAAGAAGAGCCCCATAGGGACCCCAAGGAAGGCAGCAGGGGACGTTGTGCCCAAAGGAATGCACCCCAAATCCTGCTGCCCTGCAAGGGGGGAGGAACCCCAACTGTCTCTGGAGACGTCAGTTTGCGTTAGATCAGCAAACCCTCCAGCACAGAGCTGGGGGTGCCCCTCCCCAGGGCAGCGTGCCAGGTGGCCAATCCAAGCTCCTTGGGCTGGAAGGCGGGAATCTGGCCGTCATGTGGCTGGGCCCCCACCCCAGTCCCGGAGGCAGCGCTAAGAGCTGCCCCACGCCGAAGCAAATTCTCTCCTCTCCTGCTCTTACGGCAGCCACGACCAGAGACACCCTTCCCCCACCCCTTTTTACAGTGGGGAACCAGAGCACAGAGGCTTTGGTCACTTGCTCACACCACCACCCACCCAACCCTGGACACTGCAGGGAGGACCCTGCAAGGATCCGTGAGAAAGGTTTAAAGATGTGCCCAGGGAAGGTTAGGGGCTGCGGGAGCCGGCTACAGGGAAGCCCTGCCCGGGGAAGGCCCCGCCCAGGGAAGGCCCCGCCCAGGGAAGCCCTGCCCGGGGAAGGCCCCGCCCTGGGAAAGCCGTCCAGTCTGTCTGATTTCCCGACTCTCGACTCTTGATTGTTTACTCCCAGCCTCACTCAACAGAGGGCTTGAGAAAGATTGGGTAGCTGAGATGGGATGGAAGTATGGCCGGCAGGTGGACAGATGAACAGACAGACAAATGGACAAACAGCTCGTTAGTAGGAGAAGACCGATTCAGGCAGGACAGAGCAGCTCAAGGAACCCATTTCCCCAAAACTAGTGTGTTCAACAGTTGGGCCCATTCTCAACGAAGCTGTCCCTGCCCCATCCCTATACGTAATCTGAGTGACCGCCAGGACCCGGGCCAGAAACCACATGTGAAGCCAATCCACACAGCCCCATCGCACACGGTCCCAGCCCTGCTGTTTTCCCTCCAGCCAATGAGTCCCTGCTCTGCAGGCAGCGGGCTTCATTCACCCAGGATGCATGCTGACAGGGGCCTGCCCCGTGCCGCCAGCCCCCAGGGTTGAGGACAGGCATACCAGGCTTGGCTCCAAGGAAAACGTCAGCCCAGGGAAAGGGACACTCTCACGGGAGACAGATGCACACACACACACACCCATGAGCACGCACCATGTACACGCCACATACACAGTCTTCATCCGTCACCAGTTTTCTATACAGTGCAGAGAATTCCTTTCCAAAACTCTTAATTTTTATTCTACTGAATTGGAATCCATTATTTACATAAAACATGATGATGAGGTCTGACTGACAGGGTTTTCATCAATAGCTGTTTCACTGATCAAAGCTGCTTCTGGTGTGGTGTGTTTGTGACGCCACCTAACTGATTTCCCCTAGACGCCGCAGCCTGAATTTTGTGGAGGAGGTGTGATCCTCTGCCGGGTCTTGGCCGGCACAGTTGACAGTGGGCAGGCCACGCCTGACACTCTGTGGTGTAGCTTTCACTGGGGTGATGCTACCGGGTTTGATGAGCAGCGCTTCCACAGGGTCAGCAGTGTGGCACTGGCTGGAAGCGCCTCAACTTTCTGCTGCTTACGTCCACCAAGAGCGTTCTCACTGGAGCGAACAAGGATAGTGTGCACTTCTCTACTGTCTGTCGTTGTTCTGTGCCATCGAGTCGGTTCCAACTCATCATGAACTGTGTCCGACAGAATGAAATGCTGCCCAGTCCTGCGCCATCCTCACAATCATGGCTATGTTTGAGCCCATGGTTGCAACCACTGTGTCAATCAATCTCGTTGAGGGTCTTCTTCTTTTTTGCTGGTCCTCTACTTTACCAAGCATGATGTCCCCTAGGGACGGATCCCTCCTGATAACATGTCCAAAGTATGTAAACAGAGTCTTGCCATCCTTGCTTCTAAGGAGCATTCTGGTTGTACTTCTTCCAATACAGATTTGTTCATTCTTTTGGCAGTAGATGATATATTCAATATTCTTTGCCTACATCATAATTCAAAGATATCCATTCTTCTTCAGTCTTCCTTATTCATTGTCCAGCTTTCACATGCATATGAGGCAACTGAAAACACCATGGTTTGGGTCAGGCATACCTTGGTCCTCAAAGTGACATCTTTGCTTTTTAACACTTTAAAGAGGTCTTTTGCAGCAGATTTGGCCAATGCAATATGTTGTTTGATTTCTTGACTTCTGCCTCCATAGGCATTGATTGTGGATCCAAGTAAAATAAAATTCTTGACAACTTCAATATTTTCACCCTGTACTATGGTGTTGCTTATTGGTCCAGTTGTGAAGATTTTTGTTTTCTTTATGTTGAGGTGTAATCCTTACTGAAGGCTGTGGTCTTTGATCTTCATCGGTAAGTGCTTCAAGTCCTGTTCACTTTCAGCAAGCAAGGTTGTGTCATCTGCATATCGCAGGTTGTTAATGAGTCTTCCTCCAATCCTGATGCCCCTTTCTTCTTCATAAAGTCCAGCTTCTCGGATTGTTTGCTCAGCATACAGATTGAATAAGTATGGTGAAAGGATGCAACCCTGACGCACACCTTTCCTGATTTTAAACCACTCAGTATCCTCTTGTTCTGTTTGAACGACTGCCTCTCGGTCTATGTACAGGTTCCAAATCAGCACAATTAAGCGTTCTGGAATTCTCATTCTTTGCAGTGTTATCCGTAATTTGTTATGATCCACACAGTCGAATGCCTTTGTGTAGTCAATAAAACTACTACTGCCTAGTCCTTGAGAAAATGAAAAAATGAGGAGCAAGCCCCCAGGTGGCTGAGGGCCCTTGGTTTTCAGGGTCAGCTCTTGGTGCAACTGTGCAACCTCTTGCACCCCACTGCCCATGCATTGGAGGAGCAAAGTGCAAGGTGTGACCCAGGTCAGGCCCTGCAGGGAAGGGTGTGGCAGGTGCCCCCCACAGTCCCGCTCAGACCCCAGGGTCACCCCAGTCCCAGGGGACTGAGTCTCCTGCTTCATTGCCCACACGGACTCCACCACGGGGACACCCTGAGTGCCTGGGAGGAGAGAAGCCTCTCGGGTCCCCGTGGTGGCCCCAGCATGGGTGGCAGTGGGTGTGCAGCTGCTTGTCAGGCTCCAGATGGCGAGCGGCCACTTGCCCCTCTCACTGGGGGGCTCCTGCTATGATGCTCAGGGCAGCTCCCCAGCACTGGGTCCTGCCAGCGTCTCAGCAGCCTGGAGAGTCCCTGCCCTCCTTTCACACTCAGGACATGGAGACGGCAGGACAAGGGCTGTGAGGTGGGGCTGGTCCAGGAGACGGCAGGACAAGGGCTGTGAGGTGGGGCTGGTACAGGAGACGGCAGGACAAGGGCTGTGAGCTGGGGCTGGTCCAGGAGATGGCAGGACAAGGGCTGTGAGGTGGGGCTGGTCCAGGAGACGGCAGGACAAGGGCTGAGGCGGGGGCTGGTCCAGGAGATGGCAGGACAAGGGCTGTGAGGAGGGGCTGGTCCAGGAGACGGCAGGACAAAGGCTCTGGGGTGGGCTGTCCAGGAGATGGCAGGACAAGGGCTCTGGGGTGGGCTGGCCCAGGAGACGGCAAGACAGGGGCTCTGGGGTGGGCTGTCCAGGCACAGGTCTGCCTCTACCAGTCACCACCATTTGTGTTCCCTGAGTGCCTCTATGTGCCTCAACTTCCCCTCCTGGCACAGGGATAGTACTAATGCTTGCCTCCTAGGGATGTCTGAGAATTAATTAAGATGATCCATGTAAAGCGGTTAGAGCAGGGCCTGGTACTGGTGAGTGAGTGAGTGATCAATATACGATCTGTCTCCACCCCAGGTCACCTGGGCGGGGCTTCCTGAGGGTGGGGGAGGCTGGACAGTCAGGGGCCCAAGCAGGAAGTCGTTCCTATAGGCCAGGTCCCAGCCCAAGGGCCAGGGGCTAGCAAGAGAGGCCAGGGAAGCTGGGGGAGGGGGCCCGGGCTACTACTTTTAGAGGGTCTTGAGGCCCAGGCTGGTGGAAGGCTCGGGTACTGGGGAGGGGGGAACTGGGCCTGTCACCTCTGTGCGGTCTTTGGGCCCAAACGTGGTGCTGGTGGGAGGGGTGTTGCCTGGGCCCCATCACTTCAGTGGGGTCTCCGGGCCCAGGCTCTTAGGGCCTGACCGTGCTTCATAAAAGGAGGACCCTGGGAACAAAGGGACTCCGGGCCTGCGTGTGGGGAGGGCTGGAGTCCAGGCCCATCACCCCCGTCTGCCCCACAGCGAGGACGATGCTGCCACCGTGTACCGCGCAGCCGCGATGCTGAACATGACGGGCTCGGGGTACGTGTGGCTGGTGGGCGAGCGCGAGATCTCGGGAAACGCCCTGCGCTACGCACCAGACGGTGAGTGCCGGGGCTCTTAGGGTCCCGGTGGGGCGGGAGAGGCAGCTCGGGCTTCTAAGCGGGCGCTCCCCCAGGCATCATCGGGCTGCAGCTCATCAACGGCAAGAACGAGTCTGCGCACATCAGCGACGCCGTGGGCGTGGTGGCGCAGGCCGTGCACGAGCTCCTGGAGAAGGAGAACATCACCGACCCGCCGCGGGGCTGCGTGGGCAACACCAACATCTGGAAGACCGGGCCGCTCTTCAAGAGGTGGGCGGGACCCTGCTTCCAGATGTGGGCGGGACCCTGCTTCCAGAGGTGGGCGGGGCCGCGCTTCCAGAGGTGGGCGGGGGCTCTGCAGCTGGTCAAGCTCAGTTTGCCGTCCGTAGCCCACAGCGATCCGCACCTCCTTCTACCCATACCACCTCCACCTCCTTCCACCACCTCCCTCTTCTCTCCACCTCCTCCCACATCCCACAACCTTCCCCACCACTGCCCCCCATACCCCTCCTCCTCCCCGATCCCCCTCTACCCTCACCATCTCCCCCTGTGCCCTTCCACCTCCCTCCTCTGCCGCCACCTCTCTTCTCGGTTGCCTCTCCGCCTCCCCATCTCCCTCCACCCTCACCTTTTCCTCCCCCCCCCACCTCCCCACCATCTCCATCTCCGCTGTGATGATCATCGGCCCCATTTCCAACTCTGACACCAACACCTGCGCTGTCACAAGCCGAGACAGCCACTGCAGACCGCCCGAGACCACCTCCCACCCCCCATCATGGCTGGCAGCCCTTGGCAGGAGGCTCTAGCTGGAGGTGGGGTCTGGAGCGTCCAGGACCCAGGAGGTGAGACGGGGACCCAGAGGCAGCCCTGAGCCATAGAGCCAGGGCCACACTGGAGCAAGAAGGAGTCAGCTCCTAGCACCCCACCACACCAGGACACCTGGGTGGGCAGGCCTCAGCCCAGCCCCAGGCCCCGCCACCACGGAGGAGCAACCACAGTGTGTGGGCAGAGCCGCCCCACGGTGTCCACACAGTGCAGATGGAGGCAGCATATGAGCACGTGTGTGCACATGTGCACAGAGACATGCAGACACAGCTCTATGTGTGCACACAAACGGACTCAGAGTGGCACGCAGCACACACGCACATGCACGGAGGAGCACAGACAACACGACACTGGGTGCCTCACCAGGTCCCGCCTGTGCACACAGGCTCACCAACATGGCCCCACTGGTGCAGCACACACACACACACATACACACGTATGGGCACACACACATATACATACACTGGGCACCTCACCAGGTCCCACCTGTGCACACACGCTCACCAACATGGCCCCACTGGTGCAATGCACACACACACACACAAGGGCACACACACATATACATACACATGGGCACACACATATACACATGGACACACACACACGGGCACACACACATATACATGGGCACACACACACATGGGCACACACACATATACATACACATGGGCACACACACACACACACGGGCACACACAGTGAGGCAGGAGGCCTGGCGGTTGGGTACATGGCCTACCCTGCCTCCACCACTTGCCGGATGAGTGATGTGGGCCCGTGGGCTTGTCTCCTCTTCTGGAAACTGAGGTTGCTGCTGTGAGGTTGGAGGGTCTGGACCCACGGAAAGCTCTGGAAACTGGCTGTGGTGCCCAGGGCCCATCAGCCCCCGCAAGCTACTGCTGCCCTTCTGCCTGGCACGTGTGCAGACCACCCTTCTGCCTGGCATGTGCACAGACCACCCTTCCATCGGGCTCATGGAGACTCTGGTGCAGGAGGAGGGTGGGAAAAAGGAGGGTCCCTGATTGTCTCCCTCGCCCCAGGGTGCTGATGTCTTCGAAGTACGCAGATGGGGTGACCGGCCGTGTGGAGTTCAACGAGGACGGGGACCGGAAGTTCGCCAACTACAGCATCATGAACCTGCAGAACCGCAAGTTGGTGCAAGTGGGCATCTACAACGGCACCCATGTAGGTGGGGGTCATGAGGGGGTGGGGGCTGGGGCCTTAGGGTCCTGGGGCCAAGACCCCTGCGCGGCCACCCTCCATCTCATACTCCCACCCCCAGGTCATCCCCAACGACAGGAAGATCATCTGGCCAGGGGGAGAGACGGAGAAGCCTCGAGGGTACCAGATGTCGACCAGGTTAAAGGTGGGGCCCCGCTGCTCTGCCCTGCACCCCCACCCCAGACACCCAATCCAGCCTCTCAGACCTGAAAGCCGCGTGAAGGAAGCAGGAAGGGGCCGGCTGCACCTGGTCCCCCTGGTGCACACCTGGCCCTTCTGAGGGAGGAGAGTGCCCCTTGGGCAAACAGTGCGGAACAGGACTGCCCTGGGGAGGGGCTGATGGGGAGACAGAGGGACAGACAGTCACTCTGGCCCCCACTGTGGGCTCTGTTCAGAGTGCTGGAGATGCCACCTCCCCTCACACCCCTCTGCAGCCTTCAGGGCCTCCTGATGTGACTGGTCAAGCTGTCCTCTGCACCACCCTTGAGGCACCAATTCCCTTCTTCTCAACTCTCCCTGGGTCTCTGGGAGCCCCCTCCCCACTGGTCTCCTCCCTCAAAGTCTCTCTCCCTTAACCTGACTTATATATGCAGGGTCTTTTGGGCTCATCCTGGGATCCCATCTGTCCCCCCAGGGCACCCCCCTGCTGACCCACCTGCATCAGGCCGGTATCTTAGATCACCAAAGGCAAGGATCTTCAATGTAACTTGCCCAACTGACTTTCCTGGTGTCCCCACATGCTCAAACCTCTCTTGACCCTGTTCACTTCTGGGCTACCCTTCCAGCCTGGGCCAGCCCCCATGGCCTCCCACCCAGGCAGCAAGTCAGCAGCCTGCCCACTGGGCACCACCCTCGGCCCTTCTGGTCAACACTTGGCTGCAGGCCGGATACCCTTCCCCTCCACCAATGCGGTGCATCTCCCTGCAGATAAGACACTTCATACTGAACAGTCTGCAGTTAACAGCCAAACTGCTGATAGCCAGCGGTCTATCTGTGGGGGCTCCCGTGCTGTGATGCTGGAAGCTATGCCACCAGTATTCAAATACCAGTAGGGTCACCCATGGCCGACAGGTTTCAGCTGAGCCTCCAGATTAAGACAGACTAGGAAGAAGGACCTGACAGTCTACTTCTGAAAAGAATTAGCCAGGGAAACCCTTATGAATAGCAGCAGAACATTGTCTGATATAGTGCCGGAAGATGAGCCCCCCCAGGTTGGAAGGCACTCAAAATATGACTGGGGAAGAGCTGCCTCCTCAAAGTAGAGTCGACCTTAATGATGTTGACGGAGTCAAACTTTCGGGACTTTCATTTGCTGATATGGCACGACTCAAAATGAGAAAAAACAGCTGCAAACATCTATTAATAATCAGAACGTGAAATGTACGAAGTACGAATCTAGGAAAATTGGACATCATCAAAAATGAAATGTAACACATAAACATCAACATCCTAGGCATTAGTGAGCTGAAATGGACTGTTATTGGCCCATTTTGAATGGGACAATCATATGCCTCTAAGGAGCTTCTAAGGAGCATTCTGGCTTTACTTCTTCCAAGACAGATTTGTTTGTTCTTTGAGCAGTTCATGGTATATTCAGGATTCTTTGCCAACACCATAGTTCAAAGGTGTCAGTTCTTCTTCGGTCTTTCTTTTTCATTGTCCAGCTTTCGCATGCATATGAGGCGATAGAAAACACCATGGCTTGGATCAGGTGCACCTTAGTCTTCCAGGTTATGTCTTTGCTTTTTAATACTTTAAAGAGGTCTTTTGCAGCAGATTTGCCCAATGCAATGTGCCCTTTGATTTCTTGACCGCTGGTACGATGGGCGTTGATTGTGGATCCAAGTAAAATGAAATCGTTGACAACTTCAATATTTTCTCTGTTTATCATGATGTCACTTATTGGTCTAGTTGTGAAGATTTTTGTTTTCTTTATGTTGAGGTATAATCCATACTGAAGGCTGTGGTCTTTGATATTCATCAGTAAGTGCTTCAAGTCCTCTTCACTTTCAACAAGCAAGGTTATGTCATCTGCATAACGCAGGTTGTTAATGAGTCTTCCTCCAATCCTGATGCCCTGTTCTTCATATAGTCCATCTTCTCAGATTATTTGCTAAACATACAGATTGAATGGGTGTGGTGAAAGGATACAACCCGACACACACTGTCTTGGTCATCTCGTGCTGCTCCAACAGAAATACCACAAGTAGACGGCTTTAACAAAGAGAAATTTATTTTCTCACAGTCTAGGAGGCTTCAAGTCCAAATTCAGGGCATCAACTCCAGGAGAAGGCTTTCCCTCTCTGTCAGCTCTGGAGGAAGGTCCTTGTCATCATCGATCTTCCCCTGGACTAGGAGCTTCTCTGCGCAGGAACCTTGGGTCCAAAGGACGCGCTCTGCTCCCAGTGCTTCTTTCTTGGTGGTATGAGGTCCCCAATTCTCTGCTTTCTTCCCTTTCCTTTTATCTCTTGTAAGGTAAAAGGTGGTGCAGGCCATACCCTAGGGAAACTTCCTTTACATTGGATCAGGGATGTGACCTGGGTAAGGATGGTGTTACAGTCCCACCCTAATCCTCTTTAACATAAAATTACAATCAGAAAATGGAGGCCAACCACACAATTCTGGGAATCATGGCCCAGCCAAATGGATACACACATCTTTTGGGGGACATAATTCAAACCATGACAT